CTAACTTTCATTACTGGGGTACGCTTACTGCTCCTTTTAATATATAAACAATATTTCGTGCTTGAAGTCAGCACAGTTTTGGGCGGGTGATTGGTGCACTAAGCGCACTGGAGCTCTTATGAAATGCAATGAAATGTTTATTTTAATGCTTTTAATTACAGTTAAAAGGAATTTTTAATGACATTTCGAGATTTGCACTCGCCGGGTTTTACGGTTGGCGATAAAGCATTTATTTTGCGAATGGCGTGTTTTTATGAAATGACATAAAAGGGTGCAAATGCCGGATTTACTGCAAAAGTGCAAACATTTAAGCAAGTCTTTAAATCAAATTGGAGAAATTATTTTAAATTGAGAGAATTAAACAGAAATTAATAAATCAATGCAGCAGCAATATAGTTGCACTTATCTTCAGCAACAAATTTCTTACAAAGTTGCAAGTCGTAGACGCAATTGTTTAAGCTGCTGCCCTTCAAAAGCTGTGAATTATATTAAAAACAAAAACTTATTGATTGCACCACTCCATCAACTTCACCTTCATACTCCTGGCAATTGTGGTAAGTGTGAATACACCTTACTCCACAAGCTGGACGCTGCTGCTTCAGGCTAATGCACAACACCAAGCGTAATGTAAAATAAATTGGATTATCCTTTGATTCATCTGCACTTACTGGGTTCCTTGTAAGTAGATACAACTAAGTGTAGGCATAATTTATGGCTTGCACATAATTCAAATACGATTTTCTGCTAAGAAACAGATACGCTGTCTGTTCTGTGTCCATGTCGTTATATGAGTATATGAGTATGTATCAATATCTGTGTGCCTGTAAGTTGTGTCATGTGTGAGGTGATAATTGCATGCGACAAATACGTCTGATTTGATTTTATGTGATATATTGTAATATCCTTTTAATATCCTTAAATATACAAACTTATTTGCAATTTGTCAATTCATTGAGGTGACTTAAGTGAAGCAAGAAAAGTGGTTAGAAGTTTGCACTGGGTAGTTGCAAGTTGAGATTTTCAAATTGCTGCATCTTGACCAAAAAATTATGAAATTTATTTTACGTACAGGATATGCTATACCCTTAGTTCACTATAACACACTTTAAACTGCTAATATAATAAATGTGCAATATTTTTGTACATTTGGAAACACTTTATCGATTTGAACAGTGACAAGTGATGATTAATGTATCTGTTTTCGATATCAATTTATATGCACTTGTGTAACGAAATACTTCGGATAAATAATATACACAATCATCCTTCTAATTTATGAAGTTAAATTATGATTTTTCATACTACAAACATAATTGCACATGTCACTGGGTAGGTACCCTGACATATCTTACATAGTGTAATTATGGTGCATTAGATTGCAGTGAATGCAATTTCGTATTCATTCGACCCACACCAGTGCAAAAGGATAATCTTTCATTTTGTGCAACATAAGTAAATAAATGCAGTTTCTATCGATAAACTTAATTATCGTCCGTAATTGTCCTTAGTTCAGCGTTCGAGATTGTTCGATTGCGGTAGTAGGGGCTGGGCAATTGTTTTGACTGGTTTGGTGGCTTCTGCTAATGCAATATTATTAATTGGCTTGAAGTGTAAATTTTCAGCTTGGTTTTTGTATTTTGACAATTTCGATATGAAAAGCATGTAAATTACTAATTTGCAATTCACTTTATCACATCAGAACACATTCGAATGGGTTATGGTACCAACTACTTGCTGTAACTCAATTATCCTTGATTATTAAGGATAATTTATTGCACTTTGATAATACTGAAAGGTGATATTCTAAAGAAATGTAAAATGGCAGGATATTAAAATTAAAACTTAACATAATTACAAGTCTGTTTAAAGGTTTGGTTTAGTCAGTCAATTTTATTTATAATTTTACAGTACATAGGATTTGTATCTACAAAATTTAAAACCCTTTAAACACTGGTGCTAAAATAATTATAGTTACCTACGGGTATATTAGAATATACGTCTATATAGGTTTTAGTATATATATACTAATATAGATGCATAATAGAAATTATATGTAATTTATAATATTAATTTTTTAACAATTGTAATCGTATAGTTGAGTTATAGATAGGTTCCTATGTACTATCTCCTATCCGTATCTAACTACCAAATTGTTCTTTGCCATGGTACATAATTGTAACTAACATAGATAATTCTTAAACGATCATAAATTAAATTAAGTAATTGAAGACATTAGATTAATTATTTAAATTAAGATGTTAAGGATTAGTTTCACTTTAGTATCTGGTTTTTGTGTTGACTGAAGAAAGGAATTTTTAAAGGTCAGAGTCAGGCTTCCAGTTACGATCATTTATGCTTGTTATTATTAAAAGACGCAATAGATTTTTTGTAGTTAGAAGTATATGTTAGCTATGATAAGTTGTATTGTACTATCAAAACATAGAAAAAATAAGTAGCTGACAAGTCACATCATAACTGATACCAGGAATTCTTTAAGGTCACATTTCAAAAGGTCTCCAGCCAACACAACTATGTACTTGTTATTATTTTAAGGTCTAACGAACGCTGCTGTAAGTATAAGCATATAATAAAACAAAGGTTATATTGCTTATCAAAAGAAAAAAATTTAAAGTAGCTGACATATAATGCACCAAAAGCCCGATTTTAAATAATATTATTAATATTTCATTAGTGCTTTTCAATAAAGTTGAACAACAATGTTAATGTTTAATTTATTACGATAAATAAAATAATCATTGGGTTTTAAAAAAAAAGTTCACCTTAAAAAATATTATCAGAATCACCCAGCATCATGTAAAACACAAACCGACTTTATAGGTCTTCCTAGGTGCACTAGTAATATGTATTGTTAATGTGAATTACAAGTTGATAATCGTAATACGTTCACCTCAATTATATCTGTGAACTTGGTATTTGAGTTCACTGATCCGTAGATGAACTTGGTATTCGAGATGTTAACTACATAAGACCAAACCCATTGGCACATACATAAATGTCTTTTGTTGTTGAGGAAGCTAACCGGTGTAGATCGGTATTCCAAACCATCGATGCGTCGAAGCAGAAGGGTACACAAAAGGAAATATTTAGATATATGGTTACTTAGAAAGAAAGAAACTGTCTACTTAAATCTCCTATACATAATTATGGATGACAAATCAAAAAGTATTGCTTTTTGATTACTAAGTCTTTGGATTAATAGTATTTCTATCAAAGTCAAGCTTGAGATATTTAGCTTTAGCTTAAGAATAAATTTGCTAAGAACATTATTATGGTAACACTAAAAAGAATAAGAGGATTTGATGCAAAAGTAGTTTCTCTGATTTAGTGTAGGAAAAAATTGATAGTGAAAGTAAGTGCAGTTATTAAAAAATTTCATGTCGTATCATTCAATTAAATATAATCCTATAGTTATCTGGGCCAAAATCCGAGAAACGTTCGAGATATTTTTGCAATATAAAGATATGTTTGTTAGTTTTTATTTTGTAATGACCTTTTTTTAGTCCTTAATGTAATACATTCTTCCAAATGATATTTTAGTATTTTTATTTTATATGGTCTATATAATGTACTTGAGCTATATAATAAACTTATATTATATTATATATTGCATACATTATATTATATATATTACATATATTATATTATGTTGAGGCTAGTTGAGTCAGTGCACCTGAGCACTTTTACTCTCTATTAACTGCGAGGTTTCTTCAAAACCCTTCTTTGCGCCTTGACTAGATTATTGTTTATCACTTCATCAGACCTCAGATCTGTATACCTCCCCGGGGAGCCTGTAACTATTCTGAGATTTGATAACGCGGTGTTGGTAAGTCTGTCAGATTTCGCAAATAATTTCAGGGCTATATCCTTTATATATGATATAATTTGCTTACTAATAATAATATATTCGTAAATTAAAATTTTGATGCATAACAAAGTTTGCTTTGAAAAATTATTAAATAAAGATAATAATGTTTTCAAACAGTTTTTCATATTCATTTTTTTTCAATTTATGTTTAGAACAAAATCCATAAACTCACAATTCTATAAACTTTCATTTTTCGTTAGATGTTTCAAAATTTTTTTATGTTACCAAATTTAAACGGAAACCGAAGGAACCATGAACTTGCATCAAAGGAAATATGGTAACCTTTGTAGTGATAATTTCAGATATAAAAATGGTCCTTCAATAGAATATAATCTGGAACAAGTTAGCTTTGTGCGGAGACTAGCTCATCGATTGCGTCTGGCTGTTTTCGAGGGAGGTTCTGATGATCCAGATGAAAATGCGGTGCTTAAAGAAGCCATACGAGCGGCAATAAGAAAGGGTATGAAAGCCACGAAAATTTCAAAAGTAATAGAGAATTTAAATAAATCTCTGAACCCTTCACGCACTCACATTGTTCAACTGCGCCTTGGATTGAAAGTTTGTGCCATCATCACTGCAAATTGTAGTTCGATGCAAAAATTAACGTCCATTTTACAACCTCTCCTGAAGCGACATAAGGCGACCTTTGATAATGTTTTGCCATTCTTCAACTACGAAAATAACATTGAGGCTATTACGTATGACAAAATTGAGCGTAATTCAGACGATTTGGCAAAGAAGTTAATAAATGATGGTCTAGCTTGTAATGCATATGCTGTGCGAGTTGTGGACTACGAAACGGGTGCTGTGAGTTTTAAGTCAAACACAGTGCAATTATCTTCTACTTGTGAAAGTCTGAAGAATATTGGTTACCAAATTTTGCATTTGTATTGCAGTTTTGCAGCAAAAGCACAAGTTCGCTTGAATGATCGGGAAAATGAGCGCTACTTTAAATTCCTTACTAAGTTACTAGAAATACCAGAAGTTCTTAAGGTTACCGATAATGTAGCTTTAAATTAATATCTCTGAAGTATTGAGATTGCTAGTATTGATTAACTTTTTTGCTTAATTTATGATTTCGTAACTAATGAACTAAAAATTTTTTGTGATTAAATTTGACTACCTTTTGTATATAATATTGTGTATATTCTGAAGTTTGTGCAAATTAAATTGTGATACTCAATTCTTTAAATCTCTGTTAATTTTAGTTTCTACGTTATACCTTTCAACCCATTGTTTATTAAAGTATATGAAACACAGGATATGAGCATTATATCATTTACTGGATAGGTTATTTTCGATTATCAGTATCAGATAAATCAATTTGATCATGTTTTTTATTATATATGTCTGTCTGGTTTTGATGACTACCACAAATCGGCCTAAAAGTCTGTAGGATAAATAGTAAAACAACACATTTTTGGTTAAATTTGACCTTATTCATCAATGTAGTTTTCTTCAAGACTTATACAATTGTGCTTCCAGTGCTTCCCTAACATTTCGATACCTCTCTAGTATTATGATTCCACTTCAACCTTAAAATATGTCTTAGTTTCGGCAACGGACTCTTCATTGGCGTGAAATTTATAACCTCTGAAACATTTTTTGAAGGTCTGTGGTAGTAATCGTTGGGTATCAAGTTTGGTGGACACAGTGGCTGTGTCAGTAATTTAATATGTAAGTCATACAATTTAGCCAACGACTTGTAACACTGAAAATATTTAAAAATATTTTTCTAAAGTATCTGTTATATGTTGCGGCTCCTGAAATGCCTTCTGTTCAGTTATTGTTGATTAGAAGCATAATATATCAACATGGTCGTATTGCTCTGCTTTTCTATACCAC